TCAAGAAGCTAAACCAGAAGTATTATCACTATGTGTGTGTGTATGTGTGTGTGAGAATTTCAGTATTTCAGCCAGAAGAGGTTCCTTACATAAAAGGCAAACAAGTGTTCTAAACTGAAGTCGGCTCACGCAAACATGTCTAATTTCTTGGTATTGAAGAGTTTGAGAAGGGGAGGTAACAATACTTATTTAAATGTATGTATAACATAGTAATAAGCACAGTAAGCCATACGTTTTCGGTCTGTTGGATATGTCTACAATGGTAATATTGTTCACTTCCAATAGTGTATGACGATCTGAATACAGCTTTCCCAATCACCGATTTCTTTCATTGTTATACACAGTCACTCATGACTATCGAATATCCTGTACATTTAGGACCTTGACGCTTCCTATTTCTAGTTTGTTGTTGTTCTAGGGCTTAACGCCATTTTTCAGCACACTATGGCGGCCAGTATTAACGGTGGAGGAAGAAACCGTGAAATTCGTGGAAAAAAAAACACCGACCCACGATAAGCTACTGGCAAACTTTCTCACATACCCACATTTGCTGAATCTTGGACTCGAACCCACGCAGACAGAAGTGAGATGACAGTGATCCGAAACGGGAAGCGCTTTAGACCACTCTGCGGCTCCTGGAGGTTTCTTTGAAGTATGTTAATGAGGCTCGAGTCTAACCTTTATTGTGCATTTTTGGTAAATTTAAGATAAAACAGTTTGTAATTTGTTGGTAAAATGGGCCGTAAAAGAAAATAGCATTTGTAGCGGTAATAACGGGGTTGGTTGTAGTAGTGGTTGCTGATATTATTGATGTTAACCTTTGTCATAACTTTTTTTTCGAACCTTTCATTAAATATAATGTCTATCTTTGATAAAATAACAATCGATACAAATATATGTAGCTACTCGGGGAGCACACCGGCCACCTACATGTGTCTGTGAGTTGTAACATAGGTAAATGACAGTAAACGTAAAAGTGCAAGAGAAAGAAGCGATTCAGCAAATCAGGAAAGAATACGTTAAATCCCAGTTCTCAGGGTATTCACCGACTGACGTCAACACCGATTGATGTCAACGTCATCTGCAGAAAGGTGTAATTCTCCGTCATATCCTTCAATTGTGACGTAGCTTAATCTTCCTTAAGAGTGTTCCGAATCCATGCAAGATGACCGATGTCTGTTATTGCTTAGTGGGATGTGTATCCTATGAAGGGAGCAATTGGTGAAGATGATCGATATGAAATATACGGTATGGCTGTTACCAAGGTCATTAATTCAGCACCTTTAATGTATTGAAGAATCAAGCGAAGCTCAGAACGATTGGTGCAAATGGATCCAGTATTTTTGAACGGCTATCAAAAACAGGACCGTGTTGAAACCGCCAAACAGTTCCTCTAGAAATATTAATATAATGACTAGAGATGTTTGGGTAAGTCACGACTGACGAAATATGGAGTTAGATTTTTGAAGTTGATTAAAAAAAAACTGAACGTAGACTGTCAAGGGAATTCTATACGCATTATATGTTTTTATGCAAAATGACTAGGTCATTGCATTACCTCTGCCTGACGCTGCTAGTGTCAATTGATAGTTTATACGCCCCCGAAGTCCTGCCAAATGTTGTTGAATATTTTTGACCACCCGTTCACACACCGATACCGGAGGAATCTATCATGACAACTCACCGGCACTTGTATCCACCCTCGTAAAAGACTTCCTGAAAGAGCATAACGTCCAAGTTTTGTCATATCATCCATTCTGCCCTAATTTAGGTCCAAGTCATTTTAGCTTAATCCTCTTATCAAAGATTCCTTGAAGAACAGGCGATTTTGAAAGCCGTCATGTGGTAAACAATTTTACAGTGCATAAAAAACAACCAAAATTAATGCAAAAGCAATTTAAAAATCTGATAATCTGACAGAAATCGTGTTGAGGTGCGGAGGTGGGTGACTACATTCATCGAGATGTATTGATTGATTTGCTGTTCACAAAGAAACTTTGTTGTACAGCGCAATAATATTAAGACCTCTTTGAATACCTCGCATTAGCGATATTGAAGGTGACGAGGACGAGACTAATGTAGTACCGCATCATTTACACTCGCTTTTTAAAAACTTGGGTATGTGAAACTGGTTGTATTTCCTAGCGAATGGAAATGAAGTTAGTCTTCAGGTGTACATGATTTTAAGAAATACTCAATAGACTTGTTACACGGTACTCTAACAAAATCTGAAACGTTGCATAGTATTGTATGAAATTACAAGTTTATGTTATTCAACAAAATTGACCTGTAGTTTGCTACTGTAAAATTAACCAGTTGTACAGTAATGTACCAAGTTTGCCAGTTGTATCGTACTGTGCAAAATTTGCAAGTTTTATAATATTGTAAAAGCTGATTAGTTGTAAAGTACTGTACAAAATGGACCAGTTGTATAATATTGTGAAAAATTGACATTTCAAGTCTAGCGATACAAATTTGAATTAAGTCACCAAAGTTGAAAAAAAGCGTACAAGTTGGACAATGGAATGCATGCCACAGAAGGGCTGCTCTTAAACATTTTTAAACAACATCTGA